ACTTTTACAAAGCAGATTATCTTAATCAGGGAGCAACACCTGTACCTAATTTGTAGATAACAGACAAAGATGTTCTGATGACACTTAGGTCGACAGAAACATGAATCTCAAATCTCTTCTCATATTTGGATAGGAGATGCCATTTCCCTTTCCCTCATTTGGGTCCCCTCGTTCTCTTCTTGCTCTCCCCCTTGGTTGCACGACAAGCTACAACATTCTTTTCATACACACTTCGCAATGACCCTTGCTCAGCTGCCCTGCTCTTACCCTGATTCCTTTTCTCTTCAGGATTCCCCTTCCACACACAAAGCTATAGAAACTTTCTTTGACAGGATTCTAAAACTCCTCGTCTGAACACTTAGAACCTTCGTGCTGCCAATCTATAGGTCAGAGAGATATCTGTTAGTAATAAGGCTTCCTTGATGTTCAAAGTTTTTAAGCAACTAATGCCCACAACATTACTGTAACATAAACAGATACTGTCCCTATTTATAGACACAAAAAGAGAGAGAGAATTTTTGTGGTTTGCCCAAGTTGGAAAACTGCTGAAGTAAAGGCCTAGGAATTCCTAAGTTCTTGATTCCCAAATTATCACATACAAGGCATAAATAATCTAGTTAAAGCAAGGCAATAACGAGGCAAGAAGTAAATTTCAGTGAACAACTCTGTCAGGGGAATTTTGTCCTCACCTGACTGTGCCTTCCCTCTCATCCCAGCTCTCCAGGGAGAGCAGGCTGCCAAATGTCACTCAGCTAGATGTGTTTTTTTTACCACGTAGTAGGTCTTCTAAATAGCAGGAACTAGCAGGATATTTTCACTTTGACTCTTAAACCAGCTTTGTTCCCAGGCCTCCCATGATTTTGAGTTAAAATGCTCAGAACTCCCAGGTGGTCACGAGTTACACTTTGAAATAGGCTTTTCTGCACTCCAGAAACACCACACGTAGGCCATTAGGGGACTTAAAGACCTGCTTAAATATTGAGTCTAGTCTCCTGCAGAACTCACAAGGACGAAGATGCCAATTTACACCTTGAACTTTCACCACCATTGATGCTCTTTTCACTCTTAAGATAATTGCGCCATCAGACAATCCTCAGGCAGATCAGTCTGACCAGCGAAGCCTGCATCTTCAGTTGAGTCCTTCACAAAGCCTGTCAGCAGAGCTAACCTTCTCACTGTAAACAAAGCTGAACGTATCCTACGTTTTCCTAGACAGTGGAAGGAGTTCCCCTCTCAATGTTGGGCAAGTGTCAGGTCTCTGGTAGAAATCAGACCACCCAAAGAAGAAACTTTTCTACCCATTTTACAGGTAGCATAAAGATTACGTGGTCTGCCCAAGCCCCCAAGGTACACTATGGAAAAGCAGAATTTAAAGTTAATTCTTTGTATTCCAAACCAGGGCTTTTGACACCAGGCAGATGTTTACTCTTCAGCGTATTTAAAATGTGAAATACAAAATGCTTAAGAAAAATCCTAAACCTGTAGCTGGTATAATAGCAGCAGACAGCAGTCAGATACACAGATTACACAAACCAGTTTCATAACATTCCAATATCCCTGTCCTGATATACGCACCAATAAATGAGCGTAAAGCTAATAACAGCTACAAAGTGCAGCCATTTCAGTGACTACACTTACTCTCTTCATTCTGAAAGAGAAGCTTAAAGGACCATCCAGTAATCTATTAACACTGCACAAAAACCAGATCTTCAGGTCTGGAAAAAACCCCTTAATTTCCAGGCAAGCGTTAATGCATATAACAGTAGCAAACTACACGGAGTGCAACTGAACACATACATTTGCATATGTGCTGTAATGCAAGTATTATTCTTCCAAAGGTAATAAACAAAAAAGTTTGTATTAAACTTGGTGATACCTGTGAAGAATCTAGAAACTTTATGAGGATGTTGTAAGGGAAAACGCTAACGGGCAGCAGTGTTCTGGCACGTAAGACATACTCTTCATGCACAGAATAGTGCAATTCTTTTTGGCTTCTGCATTTTCCCTTACAAAGGGAAACCCTTTTCTGACCCTTACAGTAGACCTAATCATCAACAAAAATCTTACTTCTCACTTAGCATACTGAATCACTGATAAGATTGATTCAGTTGTAACTTATTAGATCAAGAATGAGAGAAAACGTGCAGCAGTATCCAAATTCTGCCCATAGCTCCAGAACACTTAAAAGCTTCTGCCCCAAGAATTAGCAATGAATTAATTAGCCAAAGCCAACAAATAATCACAAAGTGACAATCTACTGCAGTGAGCTTCGCTTTTTTTGGTCTACCCTCTAGACCCCAACTGTAGATTCAGGAAGAGAGCACTGCATACATCCAGCATCCTACTGCACAGAACTGTAAGCTGTCAGAAATCAAAGACTGTGTGTGGATCAGTCAGTCAACATTGCTGAGCACCCACGTCATCTCTGCACAACCCAAAAGACTCCCAGAAAGTCAACTCAACAATAAATACAATTGCTGCCTTCCATTGTTTTCCTCCACTCAGGAGACCAAAGATTAAAGTACTACTTTCCAGGCACTTAGGGGATGCAATTCCAACTTCTGTGTGGTAGGTAAATGTTCTTCTTCCTTGGCAGATGCATCCTATCAACCTCTCCAGTCACATGAAATCAGCATTGTTACATGTTGCTGCAATACTTAGGCAAAATTGTTTTAAAGCATTTCAGTCACTTCTATTTAATGTTCTACTCATTACTTCTAAGCTTCCCACTACAATGAAACCAATTTTAAATACAACAATATAGGCATATAAATACAGACAGACAGAAGACCTAGCCTGTGAAAAAAACCAAAATAAAACAAAAAATGTGTTTATTGCACAGACTTGTTTTTCCTGAGGAGATCTGAAAAATATATTCTAGTTTCTCTGTCCCATCCCCCTAATCCTCTTATTAGCAGACATTCTCTCCACAGCTATTTCATTACGCTTCATTTCTGAAATCCACATCAGTAGCATTCAGTACATTTTAGCAGCAATGCTACACATAACGGTACATCTTTTTATCCCACTTGAGAAAAACATTTAGAAAATGTACATAAACACATGTTGAAAGTAGTTTGAAGACAAGAGGGTCATCTGTTTATATACTCTACATGGAAGAAATATTTTCACATTTTCAAACTTATGATAGTATTGGGCATTTCCGATCACTTCAATTTTCAGCCTTCCCAAGTACTATTTATTATTTTCTTGCACAAAGTCTAATCTGATCTAGAAATTTATTTTTCCTTCTAAATTCCTAACCATATGCTATCAATAGTTATAAATTAAAAAACACTACTAGAATTATTTGAAGTAAAAATGAAGTAACTTCTGACCTACTCTTGATAGTTCAGCATGTGTATGTTTGTAATCAATACTTGTTTTTCATATGCGTACAACTTTTCATTCTATGTCTCAAAAAAACCCCACCAAAACAAAAAAGGATAGCAGTGACCACTGTATAGGGAAGATAATTTGATTTTACACAGTGCCCTTCATTGTCCAGCTGTCCCTAAGCACTTTACAAAACAGTAAGCCTTCTAGATGTACCACCATATGGGCAAATACAGCAACTGTTCTGCACTCTACAAGAGCTCACCTCTAACCAGAGCAATCTCATACTAAGAGGCTGCACATGAACCCAAGACACTAGGGAAACATCTACTCTATTTTTTAAAAAAAGGCTATTATATCTGTAGGTATAATGCTGCACGTACTTTGAATTCTGAAGTGTAAAATAAAGTATGGAAAATCAGTACTGTAAATGTATGCTGGATGTAACATCTCTTGACTAAAAAACACAAAAGCAGTTCTTAATATCTGAGGATTATGTTGTGTTTTTCATACCACACCTAAACTCTGCGTATAAAAAAAATGTAAAACTCTATGCAGATGAGAGAACTCCACCTACTCACAAGTGCTGAGGCCCAAACTGAGATTTCCCAAGTGACTGGTGCTTATACACTGGACAATATTCTAGAGGAAAGTCTCTAGAACAGGAAAATCATCTCCTAAAATCAAAGAAACATTCCCAAAGGCAAAAGAATAACAACTTATTCTTTGTAAGGAAAAGTTAGTCCTCTATGGCAAGCCACAGACTAACTTTTTCAGTTCTTTATCTTCCATTTCCATCACGTGTCAGCAATATTAACCTTTTGTTTCAGCCATCATACAAAGCAGACAACGCTCACCTTTGGTCTCAGTAACAAGCTGGATAAAGCTGTCTGTCTATATTATCATTTCCTCTCTTTCTACTTAACAGCTGGCTTTTTTTGGTTTTGTTTTTCGTGAACACTGTGGGTACAGACAGGTCAGATACAATCCTGCAGTAGAAAAAGTGGCAGATATTTCTACCATGAAAGCAAAAAGCTCAGTTCTATACATTTTATTAATCTTGTCTCACTGAATGCGGAACTATCAAAAGCCTTCAGGCATATACAATTCTAAAAATGGAAGCTTTCCATAAGGAAAACCCTTCCTGTGTGATGAAACACACAAGTTATCAAAACAGGATGTAGTACAGAGAGCACACGTGCATCCTTACTTCAATTGTTATGGCACTAGCCCTTCCTAGTTGAATTACTCTTTGGAGTGAAGTTGTATTTGTTTTTTTAAAGAAAGTATGCTCTGCTCATAACTCTATGAAGCATGCAAAGACAACTAGGCACAAAAGTGAATGTGCACAGTCGCATATTAAAGAACATGGTAAACTGCTAAACCTTACATAAAGATTATTGTCTACTTGAAAAGGATTACAGTCAGGGTGGCCAGACAAGCCCTAAGATACAAATTAACACAGTCTTCTATGCACCTGATGGCTGGATTATTCCAAAATCTGGAGAACAAGGTTGAAGACACCTTATCTCCCATCTCATTTGATGCTACACTTCATGAGTGGATAAGAGCAGTTCTGGAGTTCTGAGATTCAGAAACAAACAAGCAAGTCCTCCTCTTCCCTCTGCTCCACCCTGCACAAAGACAGGCATAGAAAGGAAACATTCACTTTATAATGTCAGTGTTTATTTACGTGAGAGAAGGTTTACACAAGTTGAAAAGTTGTTTCAACAGGAACCCAACAATTAGTGCTTTTGCCTGTCTTCAAAAAAGGGATGACTAAGATTTCATGATGCAGCTTCAGAACACTTTGACGATCACTTTGGAAAAAAGTGCCAGGAATCAACTAAAACAAAAAAAAAAAATACACATCAAGAATGACATCAGTTCTACACAACTAGCCAGACACAAACACTTGAAAAAGCAACATTCTGTCCTTTCAGCTATCTCCCCTTCCCATAACAGTACTTCTGGGTGACCTCTATCCCCAGCCTATGTAAAGCACAGCCTCAAAATGATGGCTGTTCACTTTAACAGCTTGGCTGAAACACTCCTGCAACAAGTTACAACATTGACGTGACCATCCCTGGAAAACATCAAAGATCAGGCAGATTATGTTCAGTTGTCTGTCAGAGGTCTGAGATGTAATACTTCAGTAAATAAATGTTATTTATTGGCATGCCATATAAGGGCAAATGGAATGCAACTTGCTTTCCCATGACATGGCCTACACAGATGTTACTTTGCAAACAATCTGGAACTCGACTCATGACTAAGTTTCTCTTAGTGTTTCTGTAACTCCTTCCATCTCAAAAAGCACATCTGCCTTCTCTATAGTTCCTGCCAGTAGAAAAATCTTTTTTTTTTTTAAAGTATTTAACAAAAATGAAAATGTAGGATGCATTCTTATTTCTTGAAGAAAAACACGTGTTCTGTTAACATGAAAAACAGTCATGACAGCGAAAGAGAGAATTTTGTCCTTAGAACTTACACTTGAAAATTAAGTATGGTTATGTCACTTTTAGGAAAAGGGGCTGTTTATTTGATTAGTTAGCTACTGTGAGGAATGACAAAAACTAAGGCAAAGCAACCTTTCTCCTTTAAAAAGGATAAATGTCATGCATTTGCCTTCCATGATCAGTGACAGAAAAATTTAGTCTTCTCATCTCTTTATGTGGACTACACTTTCACTTATACTCGAAAGTAATCTTCTCCCACAAACCATCCATGAATTTCTGCCCATGTTCTATTTAACAGGGGACAGGAATTATAGTCTGACAGAATATAACTACTATCATTCTCATGGGCACAAAATCACCTTTTTTCAACGTGACAGTTTTTATGTCAATTTTTAAAGCAAACTATTAAAGCAATCGCGTGGCATTTCTGGGGAAAAACGTACCTTCTGGGGAAACAGAATCTCCGTTCACAGGCACTGGAGCCTAAAAAACAAAACAAAACAAAACCACCAAAAAACAAACCAACATATCAGTGTTTAGTTTCACAGGTAGCACCCAAACTCAAAGATATTTTACTGCTAAAGTCAAGAGATATTAATAAAACCAGAACCTTCTGTTGCCCCCACAGGACAATGCTCTGCCTTACAGAGTTTCCCTTTTTTTTTTCCCCTCTAACTACTGTACAAATTTCTTGGTTGCTCATAAATGGCAAAACAAACACACTAATAATGAGTGATAGATTAACAGCTTACCTAATGTAAAGGGGATCTTCCTACTGTATTGTCTTTGAGGATAATAGGATTTGCTGTTTACATACTGAAGAGTAAAAACGCCTTTCCAATTACAGTACTATACATGTTTCAGTATAAAGGTACGCATGTGAATATATATACACACACACACAATTTACATTACATATATGCAAACATTTTTAAATAAATGTGTAATTAAACTCTTTTACAACCACATTTTGACAGAGTAGGATTCAGTTCTGTGGAAAGTGACAAATTGTTTTAAAATGCAGGTCTGTAAGTCCAGGTCCATTTCAAAGCTGGATAGACCACTATTCAATCGCAGTACTACACAGCGTGTCTTGTCCTATTACTTAAAGGACAAAATTAAAGCCAGTTTTAACACCAGCTGGAAGCAACCTGTCTCATGACGAGGATGCTAGTTACTTGCATAGCAACAATACTCCACTGCCCTTCCATCAGCTCCTCACAAATAGACAAGTTTTCCAACTGACATAACTGATGGGAAAGAAGCAGAGAGCATCTCAGCACAAGGAATCCTGCCACACTCACTCGCACACACAAATCAAGTGCAAAAAACATGTGGATGTTGGCCTTTGCCATGACACAAGCCCACCCCAACTATGCTTACCCAAGCAGATAACCCCAGGAGTAATCACTTAGGTGAACCAAAAGAAACAACCTCAAAGGCGGGGTTTACAGCTGTTTGAAGCTTCAGGAGAACAAAGCTGCACAGTGACCACCCATGTCTTCCACACCAACAGGTGGAACTTCCTGCCACTATTTAAGGGCACACGAAGACATTAATGAAAACTCTGCAGTATCCTGCAGGCAGGCAAACTGACCCAGAAGCCGCACAGCCGCCTTAGCACAGTGCAGCACTGAGACTGAGCTGCATTGGTGTGAAATTCCCTCGCGAGCCTGCCTGCCTCCGAGCAGGCACGGGGCTTGGTCCACTGAAGAGCAGGTCAAAGTCTGTGAGAAGGGAAGGGAAGAACAGTATTCTTTTTCCCACTTTACCCAGGATAATGACCTGCGCAGGGGGGTTACGTGACTGGTCTGAAAGGATGTGCCAGTATGACAAATATAATCCAGGTCTCAGAATCATAGAATGGTTTGGGTTGGAAGGGACCTTTAAAAGTCATCTAGTCCAACCCCCCTGCCATGGGCAGGGACATCTTCAACTAGATCAGGTTGCTCAGAGCCCCATCCAACCTGACCTTGAATGTTTCCAGCAATGGGGCATCTACCACCTCTCTGGGCAACCTGTTCCAGTGTTTCACCACCCTCATGGTAAAAAATTTCTTCCTTATATCTAGTCTAATTCTACCCTCTTTTAGTTTAAAACCATTCCCCCTTGTCCTGTCACAACAGGCCCTGCCAAAAAGTTTGTCCCCATCTTTCTTATAAGCCCCTTCTAAATACTGAAAGGCTACAATAAGGTTTGCCTGGAGCCTTTTCTTCTCCAGGCTGAACAACCCCGACTCTCTCAGCCTTTCTTCACAAGAGAGGTGTCCCATTCCTCTGATCATTTTCGTGGCCCTCCTCTGGACCTGCTCCGACAGGTCCATGTCTTTCTTGTGCTAAGGATTCCAGAGCTGGACGCAGTACTCCAGGTGGGGTCTCACCAGAGCACAGCAGAGGGGCAGAATCACCTCGACTTGCTGGCCACGCTTCTTTTGATCCAGCCCAGGATACGGTTGGCCTTCTGCGCTGTGAGCGCATACTGTCAGCTTATGTCCAGCTTTTCATCCACCAGTACCCCCAAGTCCTTCTCGGCAGGGCTGCTCTCAATCCCTTCATCCCCCAGCCTGTACTGATATTGGGTGTTGCCCCGACCCAGGCTGCAGGACCCTGCACTTGGCCTTGTTGAACTTCATGTTGAGGTTCACATGGGCCCACTTCTCGAGCTTGTCCAGGTCCCTCTGGATGGCATCCCGTCTCTCAGGCGTGTCGACCGCACCACTCAGCTTGGTGTCATCTGCAAACTTGCTGAGGGTGCACTCGATCCCACTGTCTACGTCATTGATGAAGATATTAAACAGTACTGGTCCCACTATGGACCCCTGAGGGACACCATTTGTCACTGATCTCCATCTGGACATTGAGCTGTTGACCACTACCCTCTGGATGCATCCATCCAACCAATTCCTCACCCACTGGACAGTCCACCCATCAAATCTGTACCTCTC